GGGGAAGAAGGGGGAGAAAAATTTTAAACTCAAAAGCATATGGAAGCGATTATGGATAAATCAAAATAAATTAATCAAAAAAAAGATCCTGAAGCCACCACCATTGCTTGCTCCTCTGGGGGTAGAGCAGAAAGGGAAAGACTGGAACCATTGTCACTATAATGTGCATCTTTACCATGAGGTGCAAAGGCAAATTATGCACTAGGCACTAGGAAAATTATGGATCACTGGTCTTACCCAATCTCTCATTCTTCACGAGTTAGACAAAGATGAAGAAGAAAGAAAACCATGACTGGCAAAGGTAGATCAAGTAAGAAGGGAATAGAGAAAGTATGAAAGGAGTCTACAAAAGTGGTTAAAAGAAATAGCAGACAAAAGGGCACAAACTAGGTATAGACCAACATCTCACACCATATACCAAGACATGGTAAAAATGGATACATGATTTAGACATAAAAGGTGACACCATAAGCAAATTAGAAGAGCAACGAATAGTCTACCTATCAGATCTATAGAAAAGGGAAAAATTCATGACCAAACAAGAGATAGAGAGCATTATGAAATGTAAAATAGATAATTTTGATTATATTAAAAAAGCTTTTGCACAAACAAAACCAATGCAACCAAGATTAGAAGGAAAGCAGAAAGCTGGGAAATAATCTTTACAGCAAGTGTCTCTGATAAAGGCTCCATTTCTCAAATATATAGAGAACTGAGTCAAATTTATAAGAATACAAGTCATTCTCCAATTGATAAATGGTCAAAGGATATGAGAAGGCAACTTTCAGATGAAGAAATCAAAGCTAATTATAGTCATATGAAGAAGTGTTCTAAATCACTTTTGATTAGAGAAATACAAGTTAAAACAACCCTGAGTACCACTTCACACCTATCAGATTGGTTAATATTACAAAAAAGGAAAATGATAAATGTGGGAGAGAATGTGAGAAAACTGGGACACTAATGCATTGTTGATAGAGTTGTGAACTGATCCAACTATTCTGGAGAGCAATTTGTAACTATGTCCAAAGGGTAACCAAAGTGTGCATACCCTTTGATCCAGTAATACCACTAGTAGGCCTTTAACCCAATGAGATCATAAAAAGGGAAAAGGACCTACATGTGCAAATATATTTATAGCAGCCCTTTTCATGGTGGCAAAATAATGGAAATTGAGGGGATGACCATCAATTGAGGAATGGCTGAACAAGCTGTGGTATGCGGATGTAATGGAATACCACTGTGTAATAAGAAATGACGAACAGGCAGATTTCAGAAAAACATGGAAAGACTTGTACAAACTGAGGCAAAGTGAAATAAGCAGAACCAAGAAAACACTGTACACAGTATCAGCAACATCGTGTGATGATCAACCATGAATGACTTAGCTCTTCTCAGCAACACGATAATCTAAGACAAATACAAAGGACTCATGATGGAAAATGCCATCCACATCCAGATAAAGAATTGATGTAGTCTGAATGCAGATCGAAGCATACTTTTTTAACTTACTTTATTTTTTTCATCTTTTTTTTCTTTTGATCTGTTTCTTCTTTCACAACTGTGACTAATATGGCAATACGTTTTACATAATTGCACATATATAACCTATATCAAATTGCCTATTCTTTTAGGAAGAGGGGAGGGTAGGGAGAAAGGAAAAAAAAATTTGGAACTCAAAATCTTGTAAAAATGAATACTAAAAATTGTCTTGACATATAATTGGGAAAAAATAAAATACTATTAAAAAAGCAAATAATAAATAATGAAATAGCAGCATGTGGGCCAAAATGTTCTCTTTGGACTATTTTACCTAGTAGAACAGAAGTGGGAGCCATCTTGACATTCAGGATACTAATCCCCTCTCTCCAAATCCATATAAACAAATGAGGGAAGTAGCAGAAGGGACTTTTTCTGGAGGTAATGGATAAGTTAAAAAAAATACTCCTACAACATGTTATGGAAATTCTGCAATATCAGAGAATGAGGGACAAAACTTCTACAGAAATGCAAGTTGAATCAATACCAGTAGTGTCATAAAAATGCCAAGCAAGAGACAAAATGAATTGCATAATAAAGAACAAATAAAGATTTTAATTCAAGAGGAAGAAATAAAGGGATTTTTTAAAAAAAAATCTTACACAAAAGAACATAAAGCAAAATTAGAATAAATGTAATTAAGCAAAAATCAATGGATTGTGACACCATGAAGCCCAGTATATCATGGAACTCAAAAATTAAATTAATAACAAGGCAGAATAAACTAAAAGACTCAGAAGAGAGATCAAGATCAAATCTTAGATTAAACGGGAACCCAGTAGGGATTATAAAGGGGAGGAGAAGAGAATACCATACTTTTAAATATACAGACAATTTCTCAATGTGGTCAAGAACAGGCAATATGCCAAAAGTAAAAGTTCACAGGATGTTAGCATGGTAAAATCCAAAATCCAAAATCCAAATCTCCATGACATATAATTATCAAGCCTCAAGTTACAAAGACAAGAAATTATTCAAGCATCAAGAAAAAATTATTTAACAAAACATATGAATTTGGAATCTCAGATATCTCAGCAACAACAGAAGGAAGATAGTAAAGTTGGTCAAAAAGATCTTTACAAGACTTCTGATTCAAAAAATCATGTATCCCACAGACATAAATAAAATTCTGATTAAAGACAGAAAAATGCCATTCAAAAATCAACAATATCTGAAAGAACATATCAAAAAAAAGTCCACAACTGGAACAATTACCCTGGGAAACTAAGGTCTTTGAGCATAATCAAGTGACAAGTACTCAATAAAATTACCTATAATCAAAGAGTACAAAGTAACGTACATAAGCTTTAAAAAACAAATTTGACTTGGCATAAAAGAATATTTTATATAGTTTAATTCTTCATTGTTTTTTCATTAATCGTAGTACACATACGATTAATGAAAAAACAATGAAGAATTAAACTATATAAAATATAAAATGCAATTTTTTTAAAAGAGAAAAAATGTTTTAAAAAATTAACAAGGAGAAAAAAGCAAGATCTAGCTATCCCAAAAAAACAAGAGTCAAGCCTCAGGGAACCATAAAGATAGCTAAGTGGTATAACAGATGGAATCAGAGTTAGGAAAAATCAAATTCAAATACTGCCTCAGACACTTACTAGCTGTGTGATCCTGGGCAAGTCATTTTAAGTTCTCAGAGCTTGTTTCCTCAATATGAGAAGGTTAGAGCTGATGCCTTCTAAGGTCCCTTCCAGCTTATAATCCAATGAATCAACAGTGTAAAAGACAGAAATTTAAACTGTTTCATCAATCAGTTTTGGCACAGCAAAACGACCGACATCTCGTCTTTCACCTGGCTGCATTAATCTGGGATTTCTCTGACTGAACTGTCCACCAGGCTCCACTTCTCAGCTTCCTTTGTGTATTGCCTTCCCTCATTAGATTGTAAGCTCTTTGAGGGGTAAGGATTGTCTTTCTTTTTCTATATTTGTATCCCCAGCACTTAGCATAGTGCCTGGCACAGAGTAGGCACTTAATAAATGTTTACTGATTGATTACAGGAAAATAAAATAGCAATCATTTTCTCCAGCCAATATTAAAATAGGAAAAATGACAAAAGGCAAATCAATTTTGACATTAATTAAATGTGAGAGGTATAAATTCCCTTATTAAAAGTAAAAGTTCAGGAATATATTAAAATTTTCATTTACATGCTGATTAAAGGTTCTTTTTTTTTTTTTTTTTTTTTTGCTTTTTTGGTGAGGCAATCAGGGACTGGCTGCCCAGGGTTGCACAGCTGGTAAGTGTCAAGTTAAAGCATCATTTTTTCAAAGCTATATATCTGTTCAAAGGTTAGAACAGAGACTAGACCTGTGAAATCACTGATACAGGGAACTACCAGAAAAGGAAACTCCTTCCAAAGCAGGTTGGTATTTTCTCTGAAACTTACAGTCTTAAGAGAATTGCATAGAGCATGAAGAGGTTGAGGGACTCACCCAGGTTCTAACATCCAATATGTGTCAAGGGAGGAATTGAACCAAGGTCTTCTGGCTACAAAGTCAGCCCTCTAGCTGTATATAGATTACATATCTAGAATATGTAATTGTAAAAAACCAAAAACAATTTAAAACATCTGTCACTGCTGCCTTTGTGTACGCTGTCTCCCATGCCCAGAATTCTCCTCCTTCTCAATCCTGCCTCTTGGAAGCCATAGCCCCTTCAAAACTCAGTTCAACTATGACATCAAGAGACCTGTCCTGATTTCCCGAGTTGTTAGTGCTTCATTCCCCTATTAAAATTACTTTAATATGTTACTTTATATTTACTTATCTATGTACAGGTTGTTTCCCTCAAAAGATTATAATTTCCTGTTCCCATCGCCTAAAGCACAATAAACAATAAATGCTTGTTGACTTGAGAATGGCTGAAAAAACTGGTAGCATATCAATGTAATTTGAGATTACCTGTCATTCTTAATTGCATTAAATGTGGAATACAAAGAAATGTGGAAAGACATAAAATAATGTGAACCAGAAAATCAGTAGACATATTGATTGCAACTACATAAAAGGAAAATATGTGGACAAATAAGAAGTAAATGAATGGGCAAAAATAGAGATGGGGACATAGAGGAAATAACTGATAAGTTATGAGTATGTTGAAGGTAATTTTAAAAAAGTTAAGTAGTTGTAAATATAACAAGTCTACTTGATTTTAGCATTAAGGTTCATAATAAATAACTTATTTTTAAAAAAGAATCACTCAGGGGGCAGCTAGGTGGCATAGCAGATAGAGCACTGGCCCTGGATTCAGGAGGACCTGAGTTCAAATCCAGCCTCAGACACATAACACTAGTCGTGTGACCCTGGGCAAGTCACTTAACCCCCATTGCTCAACCCAAAACAAAACAAAAAAAATTAAATAAAAATTAAATAAATATTTAAAAATATAAAAGAATCACTCCATATTTTATTGTTGTTTGAGATGAAGTAGACAGTTACCTGAGGCGCAAATCTTCCCACATCTTCAACAACCCACATAGCATTACAATCTCATAGTATTTTTTCCAACACTCAACAGCTTCTGCTGCAGATGGATCTTCTTTAATATTGCTTTGGTATTCAATTAGTTCCACACGCTTGTTTTTGTACTTCTCCAAAGTTTTTTTAAAACGCTGTGCAATAGGACCAGGAATTGTACCATCCTGTATATCACACCACCTAAGATATATAAATATAATAGAACTTTTATCCTCTGAAATATAATTTGGATCAAAACATTTAGAGCTACAAGGGAGTTAATGCTAATAATCTAGTCCAATCTTCATTTTACAGATGATGAATTGAGGCCCAGACTGGTAAAAGTGACTTGTTTATGAAGTCACAAAGTAGGGATTCAAATCCAGGTCTTTTGACTAAAAATTCAATACTCTTTTCATTAGATCAGAGGTGTCAAACTCACAAAATTCCCAAATATAGGGCTACACCAGATTAAAATGTAATTGGGAAATGTTTAACAAAATTTTAAAAAAAACATAAATAATGCTAATTTGTGATTTTCTACCTTAATGTGCTGCCCATAGGGATCCATTTATGAGTTTGACACTATTGCACTAGATCACTTGTCAAAATATACTTACAGATTAATTCTTTCTTCAATTAGGGCTGTATAGTTCTCACAACTTTCTTCATCATCCCAGTCTCTCCAAAGGAAATCAAAGAAAAACCTAAGATAAACCCAAATTTTCTTCAAGATAGTAAAGAAATTTGTCCAAAAATATGGGGAACGATCAAATAAATTGTGATACATTAACTTAGTGAGATATTATAATGCAATTAAGATAGACAGATATGAGGTATATATAGAAATCTGGAAAGATTTATTTTAAATAATACAAAGTGAAAAAAGTAGAACTAGAAGAATGAGGGACATACTAATTAGATCAAAGAGGAAAAGTGAAGGAAAATAAACAGACAAAGTATTCCTGAGGAGGACTAAGAAAGATTAAACTAAAAAATTATGATAATTTTCACACTAAAATTAAACTAAATAAATTTAGTTGGTTGTATTGAGGTTTTGTATTCATCTTTTGTTATTTTTTTTAATATCCATAACCTTAAGAATAATCAACAAGTTGTAAAATTCAAAACTTTAGAAGTTTTTCTCAAGAATTAAAGTTCTGAAATATTTCTCAAAGGGACTAATAGAGACAGAGACTTAAAAGTGGGAAATCTGGTGTTTTACCTTAGACTATCATGACATCAAGATTCCTATAGGAAAAATAACAGTAGTGCTATTGAAAGAAAGCTTCAAAATTGACAAAATGTTTTAGTTTTGTTTCCAGAAGAAAAGATTAAGAAATGGGAAAAACAATTAAAGAAATTTAATCCATATACCCTACTGGTAACTCTGACAGACCTCAGATGACTTGGTCATGTAATGATACAGGTAATAGAATAGTGAGGTGGTTGAAATAAACATGTTAACCGTGCTGAAGCCTATTAGTTTGATAACATATAAGCAAGGTCTTGGGAAAAGTAGTACAGGTGTCTCATGAAGCAAGGAGCTCCACCAAGAGGAAATGAGGCTGGAGAAACAGGAAAGAGATGACTAGCAACAGGAACAATCGATGCTAATCACATATTGCTATCTTTTTAATGTGTTTAAATGTAGACAGGATTTCTGTTTCTTATTTCCTAGACTTTCAAAAATCAAATTCTTAGTAAAAATCAAGTTCTAATCACAGCAGAGTCTCTTATCCCAATATATATATACCTGCAAGAAAGAACAATAATAAGAGGGTAATTTCAAATATAGCAGAGGTTAGGATAGGCACTGGGTGAACTGAACTTCATACTAAACAGTGAAAACAAAATAAAACTAAACCAAAAAATATTTATTGAGAGCCTTTCATGTGCAAAGGCTACAAAAGGCTACAAATCAAGTAAAACCAGCATAACAAACATGACTAACTTAAAACCAATGAAAAATACTAATACCTTACAACTTCCAAGGCCAGGGCAATATCATGTATATCATCATCTTGCCCTTCAACTGGATAAACTTCCAAAAGAGGTACACTGTGTTCTAGTTCTTCTAATGTTTCATCAATCAAATCCCTTGGAATATTTGCAATATTAGATGAAAAGGGCTCAGCAACAGATACAGTAACTTTGAAACAAGATGATGAGCTTTGGCGTGGTTTACAAGTTACCTAAAATAAATGTTAGAAAATATATAATTAAATATTTGTTTACTTTTCTAATGTATTTCTTTTTTTATTTGGCCCAATTTTGTAGCTTTTAAAATTAAAGTTTCCTGACTTAACAAATTCATGTAATAGTTATTTAATTCTGATCCTATCTAAATTGCTTCATTTAAAAAAAACAAAAACCTTTTGCTCACAGCTTGTACTTTAGAACTTACATTAGCATAAAGGTACATGACAGCATAGTTTGCATATTGTCAATACTATTTCAAATATGTTCTTATTTAATAAAAGTTCACTCCACTGAAATTTTGTGGAAGTATGAACTAGTCATTTACCAAATATTTTAAATGTAAACACATGCAACTATACGGCACTATTAAGGTACTACATATATCTAAACAAACTAGAGAACTCTAACTTCAGATACAGCAAAACTACTTCAGTGAGCAGGAAATATCCGTGTACAGCCATTCTGTACTCAAGATTATAAGTTCTTAGATCTAATCTAAAAAGGCCCATAGAAATCATCTAAGGAGCAGGAGGCTACATGACTTGCCACATCATACATGTATCCGATGGTTGGGAGCAAGATTTAAACTTACGATCTCTGCCTCCACAGTTAATGTTTATTCCACAGTACCACACTGCCTTTTTCCTGTCAAAGTTGTTCACAAATAACTGTTAACACATCATTAACAATCCCCTTTCCAATAAAATTCACAAAACTCAAGTATAATATCTTTTGACCAACTTCCCAGTTTTAACACTTTATAGAATTAACTGATTCCTGTAATGGATCCCTAATATCTTTTGACAAAAACAAAGGCACTAGATGGAGGACCTAAGCAGCTAGCGGGTACAGTTGATAAAGAGCTGGGTCTGCAGTCTGGAGGCCCTGAGCTTAAATTAAGTCTAACCGCAAACACTTATTAGTTGTGTCACTTAACCTGTCTGCCTCAGTTTTCCCATCTGTAAAATGGGAATAATAATAGCATCTACCTCACAAGACTATTGTAAGGATCAAATGAGTTAATAATTGTAAAGAGCTTAGCACAGAGTGTCTGGCATATAGTAATTGCTACATAAACGTTAGCTATTATAATTACAGATTATATCTCTATTTTCTGGATTTAGACTTCTAAAAATTTACTTCATAATACGAATCCATGGGAAAAGCCAATTCATTAAATAGGAAAAAAATTCCTTGTCTGGAATGAAGATTTATTTAACAGGTAAAAAAATTAAACTACCGGGAAAAAATTCACACATCATGGTGTGTAATACACTTACCAACTCTGGGGCTCAGTTGGCTGGTCTACAAAATGTGGAAGTTGGACCCAATGATCTCTAAAGTGCTAACCAAACCCCAAATAATAGGACCCAATAATTACTGTTTATATTCAAAAAACAAATGTTTCCCCAAAATTGGCCGTGACAAAAAATTTTGTATATAGAACCTTCTTTTCCTATTGAATTTAAAGCTATAAGTACATGCTTTAAAATAAAAATTTCTTGTCATAAGTTATAACAAAAATCACACTTTATATAACTACCATTTTAAAAGGGTGAACTTAAAAGTAAATTGTTCATTTTAAGATAAACAAAAATGCTCAATAAACTCCAATCATACTCAAGCTGAGTTTGCCATTGTTCATTATTCCCCATCTTACCGTGCTACTTTTCTGCCTCTGCTATTCTAAAGTTCTAAAGGACACTAACATTTCTTGGGCAGCTATGTGGCAAAGCGGATAGAGCACCCGCCCTGAAGTCAGGAGGACCTGAGTTCAAATGTGACCTCAGACCAAATACTTTACACTTACTAGCTATGTGACCCTGGGCAAGTCACTTAGCCCCAACTGCCTAAAAATTTAAAAAAAAAATTTTTTTTTAATTTAAAGGACACTAAACAGACTTGGGTTTCATATATTGCTACATTATCTTTCCTTTTAAAATTGGTCAGCTAAATTGTAGCCATCTAATTCACAACCCTTAATTGTACAGTTGAGGCACCTCAGGCTCAAAAAAGTTAAATGACCTGTTTAAGATTCTTTTTATTTACTCATTTATTCAACATACATTTACTACACATTTATGGGATACAGATTCTGAGTGAGAAATAAAAATTAAATGAAACATAATCCCTGCTGTCACAGAGATCATGGAGTAAGACAAGGATAAATATAATATGTAATATCAGATGATTACATTAGAAAGCTGAAAAACATGGAAAAGTCATTATTAGTAAGAGATCACAGAAAATTGCTTACATGAACTGAAGCAAAGTGAAATGAGCAGAACCAGGAAAACAGTTGTACACAGTAATAACAATACTGTATAATGATCAACTGTGAATGACTTAGCTATTCTCAACAATACAATGATCCAACATGTTTCCAAAGGACTCATGATGAAAAATGCTATCTACCTCCAGAGAAAGAACTGATGGTGTCTGAATGCAGATCAAAGCATGCTTTTATTCACTTTTTTTTTGGTCTGTGTTTTCTTTCACAATACAACTAAGATGGAAATATGTTTTGCATGATTACACATGTATAACATATCAAATTGCTTGCTGTCTCAGGAAGGGGGAAGGGAGGGAAAAAAATAATTTTGAACTCAAAATTTTTAAAAATGAATGTCAAAAATTGTTTCTAACGTGAAACTGGGAAAAGGTATCCCCTCAATTTCCAATTCTTTGTTGCCACAAAAAGAGCTGTTTGAGTCTTTTTGTACATTCCAGTCCTTTTCCTTTTTCTTTGATGTCTTTGGGTTACAGATCTAGTAGTGGTATGCATATTATATGCATACCAGGCAGTTTTATAGCCCTTTGGGCATAGTTTCAAATTGCTCCCCAGAGTGGCTGAATCAATTCACATCTCCACCAACAGTACATTAGTGTTCTATTTTCCCACAACCCCTCCAACTTTGTCATTTTCCTTTTCTGTCATACCGGTCAATCTGACAGGTGTGAGGTGGCACCTCAGACTTTCTTTAATTTGCATTTCTCTAATCAATAGTGATTTAGAGCATTTTTTCATATTACTGTAGACAGCTATAGTTTCTTATTCTGAAATCTTTCTGTTCATATCCTTTGACTATTTCTCAATTGGCGAATGACTCACATTCTTATAAATTTGACTCACTTCTCTATGTTTGTGAATTAAGGCCTTTATCAGAAAAACTTGCTGTAAAAATTTTTTTTCCCAGTTTGGGGCTTTCCTTCTTAAAAGGAAATCTTTTTTTTTTCATTTTTTAATAATTTACTTATTTTTAGTTTTCAACATTCACTTTCATAAGACTTTGAGTTTTAAATTTTGTCCCTCTCTCTTCCCTCCCCCTTCTTTAAGACAGTGTGTAATCTGATATAGGCTCTACTTATACATTCATATTAAGAATATTTTCACATTAGTCATGATGTATAGAAGAATTAGAACTAATGGGAGGAATCACAAGAAAGAAGAAACGAAACAAAATAACAACAACAACAACATAAGAGAGAAAGAGAGAGTAAATAGTATGTTTCCATCTGCATTCAGACTCCATGGTTCTTTTTCTGGATGTGGATAGCATTTTCCATCATAAGTCTTTTGGAGATGTCTTAGATCCTTGCATTGCTGAGAAGAGCTAAGTCTATCAAAGTCAGTCATCACACAATGTGGCTGTTACTGTATACAACGTTCTCCTGGTTCTGCTCATTTCATTCTGTATCAGTTCATATAAGTCTTTCCAAGGTTTTCTTAAGTCCTCCAGCTCATCATTTCTTTTTTTTTTAATTTTTAATTAATTTATTTTGAATTATCAGCAATCACTTCCATAAGCTTTTAAGTTTTAAATTTTTCTCCCCCTCCCTCCCCAATATACTCCTATTAAACATATTTTCACATCAGTGATGTTATAGTAAGAATTAGAACCAATAGGAGGAACCACCAGAAAGAGGAAACAAAACACAACAGAAGGAAAAAAAAAAAGCAAATAGTATGCTTCAATCTGCATTCAAACTCCACAGTTTTTTCTTTGGATGTGGATGACATTTTCCATCACAAGGCCTCTGGAGATGTCTTAGATCCTTATATTGCTGAGAAGGGTTAAGTCTATCAATATTTGTCATCGCACAACGTGGCGGTTACTGTGTACAACGTTCTCTTGGTTCTGCTCACTTCACTCATCATCAGACCATACAAGTCCTTCCAGGTTTTTCTGAAGTCAGCCTGTTCATCATTTCTTATAGCACAATAGTATTCCATCACATTCATATACCACAACTTGTTCAGCCATTCCCCAATTGATGGGCGTCCTCTCAATTTCCAATTCTTTGCCACCACAAAAAGAGCTGCTATAAATATTTTTGTACATGTAGGTCCTTTTCCCATCTGTATGATGTCTCTGGGATATAGCCCTAGAAGTGCTATTACTGGGTCAAAGGGTATGCACATTTTTATAGCCCTTTGGGCATAGTTCCAAATTGCTCTCCAAAATGGTTGGATCATTTCACAACTCCACCAACAATGTATTAGTGTTCCAATTTTCCCACATCTTCTCCAACATTTATCATTTTCCTGTTTTGTCATGTTGGTCAATGTGATAGGTATGATGTGGTACCTCAGAGTTGTTTTGCTTTTCTCTAATCAATAGTGATTCAAAGCATTTTTTCATATTACTGTAGATAGCTTTAATTTCTTCATCTGAGAACTACCTGTTCATATCCTTTGGCCATTTATCAATTGGGGAATGACTTGTATTCTTATAAATTTGACTTAATTCTCTATATATTCTAGAAATGAAGCCCTTATCAGAGAGACTGGTTGTAAAAATTCTTTCCATATTTTCTACCTTCCTTCTAATTTTGGTTGCATTGGCTTTGTTTGTGCAAAAACTTTTCAATTTAATGTAGTCAAAGTTATCCATTTGGCTTTTCATAATGTCCTCTATCTCCTGTTTGGTCATGAATTCTTCCGTTCTCCATAAATCTGACAGATAAACTGTTCCTTGCTCTCCCAGTCTGC